TTGTATCTTTGTTCTAACTCTATAATTTTCTGTTATTGAGGTATTATTTCATGTTTTATATGGCTTAAGTGGGTGCAGCATAAACCTGAGTGCATATTTGCCTTCGGAAGTATTGTATGATACATGTACTTATCAATAGAAATAAATAGCAATAAATTGGTTTTCTTTAATTTGCTGTGAATCTTTATCATGTGAAGGATTTACTGGATTGTTATGAATTTATCTAGTGGGTTATATGTGGAGCTATTTGACTTATAGAATGTGGATGATTGGCATGCGCAGTGTTCGCCAGAATGAGGGACAGAAATTGCAAATGGCTAATTTATGAGAATAATAATATTGTGCATGCATAAATTTTGGTATGGTTTTATTTGGTTTCATATTAATTCATCATGAATATATTTCTTATTGTGTCATGTTGAGATAAGATTCACAAAGTGCAATTCTAGATTACTGTGATTTCTCGATTTTTTTTTTGCACTGTAGCATATATTGACATCAAATTGCTATAATTCAATTTTGTTTAGCCAGCTAACGAGTATCTCTCCCGCGTGTAATTATTCTTCTGTTATTCTTGATTAGTAATTCATCTATTGTCTTATACAAATCATCCCACTTATTTTTTATTTTATTGTGTGAACAACACAACAAATCATCCCACTTATTTACTAATCATATTTTTGGTGATAATATGTATGTTTTTGGTGAAATTGTAGAATTTGAAAATGTCTGATATCACCAAAAGAGAATTTGCTGAGCTCGCCCTTGATGGTAGTAATTACTTAACTTGGGCCCTTGATGTCGACATTCACCTGGCTTCATTTGATTTGAGTGCCACAATTGATCCGGCATCTCAAAGCACTCCCGCCCAGAAGGCGAAGGCATTGATTTTCCTCCGTCACCATCTTAGTAAAGATCTGAAAAATGAATACCTTACAGAAAAAGAGCCCGCCAATCTTTGGAAATCCCTGAAGGATCGTTTTGACCAACAAAGAGCAATAATCCTCCCTCAAGCACAATATGACTGGCTTAACCTTCGCTTTCAGGATTTCAAATCCGTCACTGAGTATAATTCAGCTCTACACCTAACAACCTTGTACTCCAGCAGCAGTACAGGGCTAAGAACTATGCAACGCATTCTGAGCTGATTTCGGCCTTGCTTGTGGCCGAAAAACACGATCAATTATTGATGAAAAATCATAATGCTAGGCCGGTTGGAACTCAAGCTGTGCCTGAAGCACATGCGACTACTCACGGACACCATAATGTGCGAGGGAAAGGTCGAGGATACCATACCCAGGCACCCCGTGGTCGTGGACGTGGTCGTGGCCGTGTTTGGACTCGTGATGGAGGGCGAGATCATGGTGATAACGTCCCGGGAGGTCGTAGAGAGAACTTAAACATTGATGTGGATCGTTCAAATCGACGCGATTCACATCCACAGCCTAAAGAGCAAAAGCAGGTTTGCTTTAGATGTAGGTGCGACAATCATTGGTCCCGCACATGTCGTACTCCTCGGCATCTAGTTGAGGCGTATCAAAGAATGCTCAAGGATAAGAAAGGAAAGGCTCCTCAAGGTGAATCACATCATGCTAGTTTGCCTGAAGCAAATTTAGCCATCAATGATGATGATGATGATTTATTGCAGCTCGAGCTCGAGGACTACGGTGACAATGTGTGATTAATATGCATTCTATCTTAGAACTGGATATTTTATTGATGGTCTATTTTCATGCTATTAGACATTTCTGTTTTTTTTGTTCTATCAGACATTTGTGGTTTGTTTTTGCTTTTTATCCTATGTTTTCATTGAGACTTTATGATTATTTATGTTTGCTTTTATGTTTGGTAAGATGCATATCATTGACTTATATTGTTGACAACTACAATAATAAATTTATATATAGTGCCCGCAGCACATAATTTTTTTTAGTGCCTGAAGCATATAGTGTTCACTTAGAAATGAATTATTATACTTCCATGCCCAACTTATATAATTAGCATGAGCAGTTGGATCACATTGGGCAATTATTTATGATAATTTTCCCCTAAAATGCGTGGAGAATTGAACATTTCCCATCTGCAATTTATTATTATTATGCACCATTTTATATCACCACCAATTCGTACATTTACGGGCCTATATTACAGACTAGGTATGCTATGATTTTTATACTCCGTCAAATTTTTAGTACCTAGAGGCCATTATAGGGGATCAGTTTATTCCTTGGTACGTTTTTTGCATAATATATGAAGATAATTTCACGGCATTAGGGGGAGATATGAGCATGAGTTTATTAATGCCGCGAAATATGTGAAATATTAATGTTTTCATTATTTCAAACCACGCAATAAAAATTGAACTTGAAGTTCATATTATATTTCTGCCAAGCGAAATCTGTAGTTATAATGGAGTGACCTATTTGTAAATATATAGATGTACCACAGAGTAAGCAAATTCCCTAGGGAATGATTGACTCCTTAATGCTTGAAGCATAAGGTGATATGATATATGAAAGTCCGCGGAAAATGTATATTCAAGAATTAACACTCCTTTATAATAAACTCCTGAAGAGTTGATCCAGTACATCTTGCACGTGCATCAAACCATTATAGTACTGGAAATGCGGAACGGCCAAAATTTGATTTTACGGGAAATGATTATAAATATGGCTATCAAATGGTTGAGAGAAAAATATAAATTGAATATCAGTTGTCGACAACATACTTGCCTATGTGATTTCTTAACTGTCTCAAATAATGATCCGGATCAAAAGAATAGAAGTGCTAGAAGCGCTTAAGTTGATTGAGATAGAAAGAAAAATTGAGGCAGAGCTTTCACTCGCTACACGATATATCCCAGGAGGATAGCATATCCCAGAAGGATAATGAATATTTATATGAAACATGTGATGTGGTGGTATGACGTAAATATAGCGAGATTATGCTCATGGGTTTATGCAGAGACCCAAATATTTATAAGTTCTCTCATTAGCAATGATTCCGCAAGTTAATATTTATGGCAGCATCATTAACATGACTACCGAGTCATATGTGAAAAGTCCTGGATGGGCTCGAGTACCCGAGATGAACGATAATTAAATAGTTTAATTATTTGAAGTTGTTGGTAAGATGTGGTACAACCAACTAAATTCTTCCTGAAGAAGTAAAGTAAGAAATTCAAGGTAGAGCCTTGTGTATATTACTGGTAATATACAAAATGATCATCTCGGTCAAATAGATTAAGTGGTGAACACTATGTAAAAGATTAAATAAGTTAGCTCATGCTTATAGACGGAGTTAGAATGAAACTCTTGGTTAAATACCAAAGAGTATTAACTCGACTTGTAGATCGAGCATCTCCTAGAAGGAGTATTTTTTACCCAATCAATCTACTTGAATCTTTTTATAGAGATGTAAAATTATAACACCAATGAGTGTCAAATATTTAGAATTTGACAAAGATTTATAAACATCCAAAGAAACAAATGAGGATATTATAGGACCTGAAGTTCCGAATGACTTGAAGTCCACAAATGACCTGAAGTTTATTTACTACGCGCAATTGTGCTAAACTTTTATCACGCAAACTGCATCAGGCCTGATACTGCATTTGCGATGAATTTGCTAGCAAGATTTACTATTTCTCTCCGTAGAGAGATGTCGTGATAAATTTGAGAATATCCCATTATGCTTTCATGTATGTTGAGTTATCTTTGGACTTGATAGATGATATTGGTGGATAAAGACATAAACTGTATAATTGATCCCCGAAGTACTGGGTCCTCGATTGGTTATAGACCTCTTAAATGGTATTAACTCTTTACCATTGGTTATTTAAATTTCCCCATATTTATCTTGAAGATAACTCCGTTTGTGTTACACAAATAAATTATGGAAATACATTGGATGATATTTTTGAATCCATATTAACTCCGGAAGAGCAACCAATGACGATTTTATGTAGATACTCTTACCTTGAGGGGGAGCAACAAACATTTATAAATGTAACTTGAAATGCTCTTGCCTTCAGGGGGAGCGATAAATAAATCCTGAAGATCGAGCCCGGAAGGCTAATTGTAATCTTGAAGATTAGGTCCTGTTGGCCGGTGTTGTACTCTTTTTCCCTTAGCTATGTTTTTTCCCATTGGGTTTTACTTAGTAAGGTTTTTAATGAGGCAGCAAGTGTAACACATAAATATGCATACGTCATGTACTCTTTTCCTCGACTATTTTTTTCCACTGGGTTTTGTAGCGAGGTTTTTAACGAGACATGGACATGATGTAGTAATGTCCAAGGGGGAGTGTTATAAATATATGTATATGGACATTACTAATTGATAATTGGGCCTGAAGTCCATTAGTTAGGGAAATTAGGTTTTAGGGCTTCTCACTTGTAAACCCTATAAAAGGGTGATATAGGATGAATAAAAATATAGACTTTTCTGCTCTTCTGTCTCTTGTTCTCTCGCTCGTTTCTCTTTACTTTGTTTGGTGTGGATGCTTGAGGATCCCAATTTACAACAAATTAATCATTCATACACCCCATCATCAACCTTAATTCACTATTCATCCACTCACATTATTTTAACTAACCATCACTTCAAATCTCTCTCTCCTACTTTTACATCAAATCAATTTTAATTATTTTATTTTAAATATTATTTTAATATACCCACTAACACCTAACCATACCACCTTTTTCAAAATTAACTAAACCAAAACAAAAAATCCAAACAAAACCAAAAATTTCCATAAAGAAACATAACATTTGGAACAATTTTCTAGGTCTCAAACATCAAATTTAGCATTTGGAACTCACGTTTAGAAATGGTCTTGTATTTTTTCCACATACACAAAGTGTATCATTATACATTCATAACAGGAATTTTACTTGAGGGTGGGTTCTATTCGTTCATTCATAACAAATTTCTTAAAAAATCATCCTTGCACTTGTAACATTGCACATATGAATTTATCAGTATGTATTCATCTTTCAGCACCACCTTAAAGACATCAGACATAACAAATACCATTATAGCTAAGATTTCTACTGAACAAAAGCACGAATTCTGCAGGCAATATGTGATTTCAAGCAAACGCATTTGTTATGTGATATCAAGCAACCGCATCAAAAGTGATTTCAACGAATTTGTTCACACGTGAAAATACACTATTCACATGACTTACCCTCAAGTTCTAATGAATCACAGTCTTGACCTCACGAGGAACCATACGTTATTTAAGTCATCCAAGAAATTGAAAATCGGGGAACATTTCAAATTCGAAACTGAGTAAAATATGATGAAGTGATTACACACACAAATGGGGAAAGAGCTCTCATATTGCTCTTTTATTCTTCGCAATAAAATAATTTCGCCACTTGAGTTGAGATTCGTTCCCCTTCATCCAGCATCTGGTGCTCATGCTGATTTCAATTGCTGCATAAGAGGAAAGTGATTTCGAGTTAACAAATCAAATTATGGATTTAGCTGGTAATTATTTATTAGGATATAATCACAAAAAGCTACTCATAAGTTGATCAAAGAAAAACAATTATGATAATTTTTTTTGTTTTTTTGAAAAACTACCTTACTTAGAGGTGTATAAATATCATACATATATGCCGGGTTTTTCATATCGATTTCGATTTATCTTTTGTTCTTTTTTTTTTTTCCAAATTTAGTTTTGTGAGCTTACCCGTTTTTCTTCTTCCATCTTGGCCTTGATGAAGGAGTACATTGCAACTCCAGCAATTGCAATGGACGTGCCAATACCAGTCTGTAATGAAATCTTGTTACCTGCAAACATTATTAACAAACACTTTGCGTCATTATCTAAATCCATACATAGTTACAAGTTATCTCGAGGCAGATTAAAGCACTATTCTTACCAAAGACCAAAATCGAGAACCCAATCACAAAGACACGTTTCAAAACATTCCCAACGGCATGAGTCAGCGGTGCCACTCTCTCAAGTGTGTTTGTAGCCAACTGAGACAAGAAAATATATATATATATATATATAAAATGAGTTGACGCGCAAAAATCAAGTAAAATTTGATATAGGACTTGGAAAATGAGATTACCTGATTATAGAGATGGTAAAACATTCCCACCCAGAAAAGATCAGTGACGAACTTCGTGAGTCCCACTTTAGCAATTGCATCGTTAAATCCATGCTTCATCAGCTGAGGGCCCTCAAGCTGTACATAAAAGAGATGTGAAATTTAATAAAAATGGAAAAGCATTAAGCAAATATGTGGATAAAAGAGAGTTAAACTTAAAACAATGCAACTATTATTAGTTGGGACTTACAATCAAAGCAGGTGGAATGCAGACAATGAGCGCGATAATCGAAATGTAGGCATACAAATTAGTGCTGTCCATATCAGTCTGCAAATTAAGAATCATCCATTAAAAAAAAGCCCTTTTTATTTTTTAAAGGAACACCCAATAGAAGATAACTTCAAGTACACAAGATGGAATTAAGTACAGAAGATCCACTTAACCATGGCTTTTTTCGAGTATATGCTCCTATAAGTGAAGGAGATGTTGGAAATCATGGCACTAACAAATCCGGTCCAATTGAAAGACAATTCAGTGAGTGATGCCATTGACACACCTGCATTTTAATCTGTAAGTGTTAAAAAAACTACAATCTTTTTGTACACAATAGGAATATTGTGAGTCTTTGCCCATAAAACAAGAAATAATTAGAAACAAAGAAATAAAGTGACAGCCAACTTTTTTACCATAAATGCATATAGTTTCTAGTGTTATATCATACGCAAAATGTAACTGGTATTGATAATTACAAGATTTTGCTACTGGAGGAAGACTGTCTTAACAAGCACTTTTTACAACTTCGCTCACTGGACTCTCTTAGCAAAACATAAAGGAATACAATAGCTTACCAAGAACAACTGGGGCCAAAGACAGCCATAATGTCAATGGAATCGACTGTCCAAGAATGAATTGTGAAGCCGCAGCATTGAAGAAAGGTTCAAGGGCTGGTCCAATAACAGTTCAAAAAAAAAAAAAAAAAAATNCCAAAAAAAAAAAAAAAAAAATCAAGATTATTAATTCATTCATTAGGCAAAAGCTTTCAAGTTTAACCTCATCAAGTGAACTAGATTATCACCTTTAATAGTGTGGGTGAACGAGACTGCAACAGCAGCAAACGAGACATTACTTGTCACATGGCCAAGAGCATGGCAAACGGCAACTGGGATGAGAAGCTTTAAGAGGTTCGGATCAATTGGCTGCACCACGCAGAGAATATGACCAAACACATAATAATTAATCTATTTGTTCTAAACTTATTCTAATTCAAAACCTTGTAGCATTTAAATATGTTTTTTAACAGCATATAAGTGGAGGGGTTCACATCAAAATGAACTTTTCTGAACAATGAAATAAAAGAACCTTCAGATCAGTAGCAATAACTAAAAGATCAAACAATAAACTAAATGAACGCAATAGCTTAGAAAACTCACAGCCCTCTTTGGGAGGCCCACAGCCCAGCTTATTAAGCAGTAAACAACACCAACAAATAAGTGGATAGCCGACACAAAACTGTGAACAAAATTGGCCAAATATCAGCTTAACTAAACCAAATCATAGATAGAACAGAACTAAGTAAGGTAATTAGCTTCAAGAAAGTGCTTACTAAGGATAGGGGAAGTAATTGTAGATTTTCTTGTTGAGGATGTTGAATATCACGTTCAGAAAGTACCTACAGGAGCAAGGGCAAATAAGTCAATTTCAACCAACGGCAATTGACGGTTAATCAGACGGTGATCTCAAGAAGATGGTCAACAACTGGTAGCTCACGCTCACCACATGAAGAAGAAGAACCCGGTGACAAGAGCCGGGTATTTCTGAAAGAACCCGACTTTAGCGGCCCTGCGAAACAAAGAAAATTGGGTAAGGGAAACAAAAGCTCGAGAACGGGTCGGGTCACTGGGTCGGAAACCATGAAAACGGACCTCACCCGGAAGAATCGCCGCCCTCGGCCGGAGAAGAAGCCGCGGCGGAGCACGGCCGGAGAATCTCCCTCTTCGTCGCCGGAGAAGCCGCGCCGGCCAGAGAGGTCTCGAGAAGAATCGCTGGACGGAGCTGCCTGCCCCACACCAAGTTCCCACCGCCGCTGAGCCTGCCGGCGAGCCTCAGGGCGGGGAGGCTGCAGCTGTCGGAGAGCTTCGCCGCCGGCCTCGGGGGGAGGGTCAGGCCGCGGATGGTGGCGCCGGTGAAAACGCGAGACTCCATTGTGACGGTGGAGAGAGGGGGAGAAAGGAGAGTGATTGTTGGCCGGGCAAGTGCTGTGCAGATGATGTTTTTAGTGAAAATGGTGAGAAGAGCTAACGTGCGCCGGTGAGGTTAACTTGCACCCGTTTTTGTGGTTGCTACTTGCTATCAGATGAGGAGATGGGCGGTTCTTATTATTTGGATTTTTATTGCCCTCACGGATATTATGGTGGATTTGTAGAATTTTGTTCTTTTTACTTTGGATGCTATTTCATGATTTTAGTTATTAATAATTCAAATATTTGGAATATGGTTAAATGATCTATCTCTAATAAATAAATTATTACGCTACAGCATAGTTTTTCAACTCGGACCAATCGAGTTCCTTTATAAAAGAAATTTACATATGGCAATTCTCCTTTCTCTCTTACCTCTCTCTTGAAAGGAAAAAAAAAAAGAGAGTAGAAAGTACGTCGTCTTCCCTCCTCATCTTCTACATTGTACCACTTGGCCGCTGGCCGACCTCTATAGGAGTTGGCGTCGGGATCCTTATCACAGGTCGGCCGAGATCGACATCTCCTATGATGCGGTGCTCCGCCTGTCATTTGATGTCTTTTTTAGGATCAAATTTGAGTTGTTTCTTTAGATCCAACTAGTCGTTCATATGAACTGGAGTTTTCAAGTTTGTTGGCTTCAGATCTACAGTTCTTTCTTCGTCTTTGGGCTAGATCATCTCAAAGTGTGTCGGCGGTTGCTTTTGATTTTCAATAGAAGCTTTTTGGAGGGTACCTGTTGGCGACTTAGGGTTTGGTTTTAGTCGTGGGTACGGTTTAGCTAGAGGAGGGAATGTTTTATTGTATTTTACTCTTAGTATGTATTTTATTCGGTTTCCACAGTTATTCACAAATGGTGTATTGATACGTGTCGTACAATAAATACACATTGGACATGTGTCAACACATCAAGTTATGGATGACTCCATAGAATTTCTGGTATTTATGTGTTTGTATTTGTTTTTTTGTGGGTTATTATTTTCTATTATTGGAGTTTGTATTTTCTATTTGTGTGAGTATTTTAGGGGGTGATTGTTTATGAAATAATTTGTTCAAAATGAATTATTTTAGTTAACCACAGTTAATTTTGAAAAAGGTAGTATGGTTAGTTGTTAGTGGAAATTTAAGAATGTATTATAATAATATTTATAATAAAATAATTAAATTGATTTGATGTAAAAGTAGGAGATAAATGATTGAAAATGATTGGTAGTTAAAATTATGTGAGTTGATGAATAGTGAATTGAAGTTGATGTGATGTGTAAGAATGATTGGTTTGTATTATTTAATTATATGAATAATATTAAAGATAGTAGGGTTGAATTAAAGTTGAGTTAAAATTTTGAGTATGAAATAAATGGAAATGAAATAATTCATAAACAATCAAGCCCTTAGTATTTTCTTTTAATTTGTTTTTTGTGTTTTTGACTTTAGGCTACTATTAAATAAATCTCCTTATAGATTCAACTTAGTAGTTGATTGATTTGGTTGTATTTGGATGTTTTAGTCTTTAAATACTTGTATTTGTTAATACAGAGTCTATCATTTTGTA